TGGCAACGCAGTGGGCTTCCCGAGCCCTGCTCTCCAAACTCACGGCCCAGCATGTCCCAGGACCGGGGTGATGGGGGCCTGTGTCACTCACCCCACCTCTGCCAACACCGAACAACATGGGCTTCTCATCGCTGCTGCTCCGGCGGGCAGGACATGGAATCCTCTTCCCGTTCTGTGGGCTTCGAGGTGAGGTGGAGTCTTCTCCCCCTTTTTCGGCCCCTGACCCCCGGCTCGGCCCTGGCAGTGACCGTGGTGTTTGTAAGCCCAGGCCCCGCAGTGGGCTCTGAGCAGAGGGGGCCTGGGCCTGGAGTCCCAGGCAGTGCTGGCTCGCGCTGGCTCTCTGGCTCTCGCTGGCTGTCTGTCCTTACCAGGAACAGGTCAGAGACGATAGCAACACGTCCGTGTCTCTGCATGGCAGTGCTGGGGGATGAGGGGAAGTCCCCTAAACCGCAGAACCAAACTCACATTCAGTTATGATTGAGCAAAAATTTAAGAAAAACAAAAACAAATAAAAAACGTACCCTTAGATTTACTAACCCACTTCCCACCCTCCCCCTCACCCCCCTGGGTTTCAGGCTCTCCATGGCTGCGAGGACCTGAGGCTGAGGAACTGCTCCGGGCACACAGCGCAGCAACAGCGCATCCGGTGAGCAGGTGCCGCCTGCAGAGCCGGGGCCATCCCTCCAAGCGTCAGATCTGGAGTTAGCCTGGGAGCCAGCGAGTCCACGCCCAGGGACACAGCCAAGAAAAGTGAAAACACATGTTTTCACAAAGGTTTGCCACTCATTCATAACAGCCAAGAGGCAGAACGACCCAAAACGTCCATCAATCCCCCAAGCACCCGCAGGGGTCAGTGCCACTGGCTGTCCCAGTGTCCCGATAAGCAAGCAACAGAGGGCCCGTCCTCGGGCGTTTGGCCAGGAAGGGTACCATTCGAACCCACCTCTCTGCCACCAGGGCCGCACATGGACCATGTGCTCACGGGCCCTGGGGTTGGCCGTTGGGGCCTGAGGGGGGTGGGTGACAACACACTCACACTCACACGCCCGCAGCCCTCCGTCCTGACAGCGGGCTGGGACTCCTAGGCGTATCTCTTAGATTAGCCCGGCTATTTTTGCTCTGCCCTTGCTCCGGGAGGAAAGGCAGCACGGGCCAGCCCTCAGGCCGGGCCCAGGGAGACCATCACTAGCCAAGGCGAAAACAGAACTGATTTTACAAGCTTTTCTCCTTAGAAGCGTCTCCCAATTGAGGCACCTGCCAAATTGCTTCAGCAGGGCCCTTAGGGTCCTACATGCACCAGCAAAGAACGGTGCTGACCGGGACCTGCTGGGTCTCACCTTCTGGATAGCGGGAGGAGGTGTCAAGAGGAGAGGCTAGTGCCCTGCCGCTGGTGCGGCTCCGTGGCTGAGCCTGGACCCATGAACCAGGAGGTCACGTTCAATCCCTGGTCAGGGCACATGCCTGGGCTGTGGGCTTGATCCCCGGTGGGGGGCGTGTAGAAGGCAGCTGATCAATGATTTTCTCTCATCATTGATGTTTCTATCTCTCACTCTATCTTCCTCTCTCTCTAAAATCAATAAAAACATTTAAAGGAAGAGGAGGAGGAGGAAGCTAGAGCGGACAGTCCAATTCAACTCAATTCTGACACTAGCTACCTGGAGAGAGCATCGGATCCTACAGGTTCAGGTTCAGTCCCACAGTCCTGCCCCGCCTTCCACTTCAGACGCCAACTGTGAGTCCAGATTGCTGTCTGTGCTTCTGACCAACAGGCTGTAGATTGGAGGCTCCCATGACCCACTCCTTGGGTTCAATTAATTTGCTAGAGTGGCTCACAGAAATCAGACCTAGCACTGACTAGATCACTGGTTTATAATGAAAGGATCTAACTCAGGAAGTGCCAGATGGAAAGGACGCATGGGGCAGGGCCCTGGGGAGGGGTGTGGAGCTCCCATGCCCTCCCCGAGCGCACACCTGACGCTCCAGAACCTGCAGGTGTTCACCAGCTCTCTGCACCTGCCCTTTAGGTTCTATGGAGGCCTCAGCATAAAGGCATGGTGACTGAACCCCATCTCCAGTCCCTCTCCCTGCCCCAGAGGTCGGAGGTGGGCCTGACAGCTCCAGGTCTCTCATCACAGGGTTGGCTTCTCTGCAACCAGCCCCCTCCTCGGGCGGCTGCAAAAATCCCCATTAACGGAGCACAGGCGTGCCGGTCACGCTCCTCACAGGAAATACAATGGTTTTAGGGGCTTTGGCAGGAACAGGACTAAGACCAAATATGTAATTCTTATTATAAATCACAATATCGTAGATGCTTCCACCGTAGGCCTTTGCCTAGGTGGTCCCTGTGTGATACTCCCTTCCCTTGAATGTGTGTGTGTGTGTGTGTGTGTGGTGTGTCCCCTGTCCCCCCACCCAAGTCTTTGCTCAGATCTTACCTCCTCAATGAGGCCGACTCTAACCACCCTACAAATGGCCACGCCTACATTCCAGATCCCCATGAGCCTGCTCCACTTCCCCCCAAACGCTTTTTCCCACACAGTAAACGATTTTTTTAATGTTAACTGTATCACCTGCCGGCCTTCCCCCACTTACTGTAAGCTCCATGCCCCAGGGAACCTGTCTTGTTCACTGTGTATCCTAACACCGTGCCTGGCACAGAGTCGGTGCTGAGTAAATATCTGAATGAAAGCCCTCTTGACAGCTCTATACTTTTAATTCCTTGATTATCCGCTAATTACAATGCGAAATACAAGCTTGCCCCACTGTTTAGCAGCAAAAATAAAGTCATTCATGAAATGTCTTCCAAAAACAAGATCTATAAGTAAGCTTTGAACATTTGGGTTTTTTTTAAAAAACCTGCAAGTCGGTAAGAGCATTTCATATGGGCTGATGGGGTTAGTCCTACATTCTCCAAGGCCATAGAGCGAATGTGAACAGTGCCCCCTCATGGCTGAATGTGGAGACGGCAGCTTCCTGATGGGCGGGGGATGACTTTCAACCCCAGTGGCTGATGGGAGTTGTAAGATAAATGTTATTGATGATATTTCAAAATGGATCAAATTCAACACGATTTCCAGAAGGCAAGTAAAAGAGGAAAAAGTGTCAAAGAAGGAATTTTTAGGAGTACAGAGCCCACACATTTCCATGTTGTGAGGAGGATTTTGACAGTTTGTGGGAAGCAGTAAAGAAAAATGTTAAGACAAGAAAATCCTAACTTGATAACATCCAGCTGCTGCCCTTACAGCTGGAATCTGAGCGGGGCTTTCCCATCTGCGCTTTCCTCTCAGCTTCAGCTTAACTATAAATAAGACACATGTGTGCCAGTTTACAGCCCGCGTCTCCTGGGCCAGAGCTGTTTAAGGATGTTAGCTATAAAGTATAAAGCATGCCCACACGACGACTCAAAAGCTACTCATCAAACGAGTCAGCCTGCGGTGTGCAGCCAATCTCGTAGCTCGGTCCCGTGACCACCTGGCACTTCAGAGCCGAGGCCTTCACTGAGGCCCCGCCGCCCAACCACATCTAAACAGAACCGCAGCTGCACGCCAGCTCTCCCCAGGGCCCGGCTGTTCGCCGCAGGACCCGTGGGCCCTGAGCTCCGCACCCGGGACTCCCACTGCTGTCACCTGGGAGCTGCACGCGCCTTCACCTTCTCCTTTGATTCTCAAAAACGGACTCTGCGAGCGTCTATATCAGTGATGGCGAACCTTTTGAGCTCGGTGTGTCAGCATTTTGAAAAACCCTAACTTAACCCTGGTGCCGTGTCACTATAGAAATTTTTTGATATTTGCAACCATAGTAAAACAAAGACTTATATTTTTGGTATTTATTTTACATATTTAAATGCCATTTAACAAAGAAAAATCAACCAAAAAAATGAGTTCACCATCACTGGTCATAGGTTCGCCATCACTGGTCTATATGGACGATGGCCCCCTCAGCGGGGAAACTGAGGCTTAGTGACATGAGGTCACTTGCATGACCACGTGGTCCGTTAGTAATAGAGCCAAGCGTCAATGTCCATGCTCTTCCCACTCTCCCCTCTGCCTCCACACCCCTCTCCCAGGGCCTCTGGGCTATAAATAGTGGGGAGGCCGGGATGCGTGTGCGAGGTTAGCCAGGCCCCCGCAAAGACACTGATGTGTCCAGCCCGGCCTGGCCCGGGCCTATCCCCTTGGCCTCACCAGGACTCGGGCCCAGACAGGCCTCAGCTTATCACAGCTTCACTCTCCTGGGTTATATTTAGCTCCGGACCCAGAGAAAGGTGGGCCAGCCCTGCGCCAGGGCACCCAGGCAGGTTGTCTCCTTCTCCCTGGGGGAGGGGCCGCGGCTGCTTATCGCCGTGTCTGTAACACTGCGTGTGCCTGGGGCTCCAGGCTGCTTTGTTGGATGAACAAATAAATGACCAACGTTCATGTCCTAGAAACCTGGACATCAAAAACAGAGGCCCACAAGGTCCCGGGGGGATGCCTTATAAAACCAAATGCATTTCACTCTATTCAATAGTCAAGTTTATTCAGGAATGGACCCAAGTCATCATCCTCCCACCCCGTTTCTCTTCCCTCCCCCTGATCAGGCGTGAAGGCCGCAGCGGGAGAGGGAGAGAGAGGAACATCACAGCCCAGAGGGCGGGCTCCGCGTGCCCCACGCAGCAGCCACCCCGTGTCCGTGGCTCTCGGAGTCCCCGTGCCTGCAGGCGTCCGACCACAGGCCTCCCCTGGCTCTGCCGTCCTTCACAAGGCAGCCACCTGCCAGAACCGGCGGAGCATGGCCGCCCGTCCTGCTGAGCACCTGGACCCCGGGAGGTGGGTCGGCTGGCAGCTGGGCCAGAGCTCAGGAGCCTGGCTGGGTCCTGACACCAGAGCTGAAAGGGCAGACGCTGGCAGCTCTTGGCTCTTATAAAAATGGAAAGAGCCGCTTCTTTACAATGTAGAGAACCGTAGCAAGAAACAGGGCCAGGGCCAGGAAAATGAGCAGCTTGTCCGTCAGCTCTCGGCGATTATATTTTGTGATGAGCTTCCGTCCCAGCTGGATGGTCCCCGACATGGACTTGAATTCTTCGTTGGCGTCAAGGATAGTCCGGGAAGAAGTGACTGAAACATAAGAGGGAGGGAGCCTGACTCAGAGGCTGCAGAGCGGACAGTCCGAAGCTGGCCTGCTGGCCGGGCTCCCAGCACACTGCTCTCTGAAGCAAGTTCCCAGAGCAGAGACTGAATAGAGACAGCCAGAGTGGAGACCAGGACAAACTCCCCTGGGTCTCACCCGGCTCGATCACAGGCCACAGCGGGGAGCCCCAGGTGGACCCCCAGGGAGAAGGGCAGAGAGGCTCTTCCTCACCGCGACCTCGGCCGCCGCCTGCCGCCGGGCGCTGCTGAGACCACCCGTCACAAAACCAATCCCGTGACCGCGGATTGGCCCCATGAGGTCCATATGGGGACAGAAGCTGGAGGGCACCAGGCCCTTTAACCTGTGGGGGCGCCCTGCCAGGACACCTGACGGCCAGGTCGCTCTCTGTGGGATCAGGAAAGGCAGGGCTTGGCCCTGCCACCAGCCCTCACACAAGCAAGTCCTTCGGTCCCAGCACACGGCTATAGCTTTAAAGACGGGGCGCCTGGGCTTGGACACCAAGTGACACCTACCAGGAGGCACTTGTCCCCTCAGGGTCGCTGTGCCCGGGAGTCGACTTTACCGCTGAGCGTGGGTACGTGGGCCTGCCACTTGGGAAGAAGGTTACCTGGCACGATTCCCCCACAAAGTAAAGCAAGGCATCACCGAACAGCCACAGAAGGCAACCTGCTGTTACGTGGACAGCGAGCGTGAAAGAGGCGTGTGAGATGCTGCCATTCATGGAAGAAAGAGGCGGATGACACCATCTAATTTGCGGTGCCATCCCTGCTGGAGACCGCAGATCAATACAGAAGCAACTGGGAGCCGTGGGCAGGGCAGGCAGCGTGGACAGGGCGGGGCGGAGGGGCCTGGGGCAGGTGCCGGGTCCCGGGAGCAGCTTCCCCTCCAGCCCGGCGTTACCCAGCGTCTGCATGGCTTCCTCGCTCTGCTGCACCTGCTGGGACATCACCCGGCTGATGCCCATGAGGTTCTCGGTGATGGTGCTGGACGTCTGCGCCAGGTTCTCTTTGGCGGTTTTCCTAGGAGTCCAGAGGAGGAGGAGGAAGGTCACAAAAGCCTGGCTGCGGGAAGCCCGTAGGCAAGGGAGACCCATGCTTCAGTCTCTCACGCGCATGCTGTTTGCTGCATGTTCCTGGTCGTGCCCAGGAGTGTGCGGAGCCTCTTAACGACAGCCAGCAGGGCGTCGGGCTGCCTCTGCAACAGACACAGATACCTTTGCCTCAAGAGGTCTCCTCCCTGGAGCAGCTCTGCCTTCTCTAGGTTGTCGATGGCGATTTTGCAGGTGAGATTCGCTTTCCTCCACGACGTCTGATTGCTGGAATCACAAGGGCACGCGTGAGTTTCTGCTGACTCTGCTGGGCTGACAGTTCCAGTCACAGCAGGTCTTCCCTCCGGCAGGTGTGGGGGGGGGGCTCGCAGGGGTGGCCCACGGAGTCCACCCCCACCTCCCGCCGCTTCCCCCTCCTGTTGCCCCAGCAGTTGCAGCAGCTCAGGCCCCGGCACCTCTCGTCTGGGCCCTGGCCGCCTCCGGGACAGTCTCTTACTGCCCGCACTGTCCCTGTCCCCGGGCAGCCCGAGGGAGAATCTGGCCTTGGCACACCTCTCTCTGCAGCCCACATGGCTCCAGACTTCAGGGTAACCTCCGATCCCCAGCGGGGCACACAGGCCCGGCTCTGCCCAGCTCTCCACACTTCACTGCTCTGCCCTGCACGCGATGGGCTCTGCCCCTCGAGATCATGCCTCACCCATGTTTGCATGACCAGCACCAAACTGACAGTTTCTGGCCCCGCTGTTCAGCCAGTATATGTTGTAAGAAGTAGAAAAATCATCAAAAGGCAGCTTTCCTCCACATTTCTCCAAGGTCTGCTGTCCCACAGACAGATCGCGGACGACACAAACACAATGGGCCAGCAGGCCGGTGGGACATGATTGACATGCGTTACCCGCTCTCCCTGGGAGGGACAGCTCCGACTGGGTGAGCGGCGGCCGGGAGCCAGCAGGGCCGCCTTTGGGGGTGGACCAGAAAAAGCGAGTGGGTCCCTCCGAGAACCAAGCTCATGCGCAAGAACGCGTAGGCAGCGGGCTCACACCCGCCGCGCTCCCCTGAAACACTTCAAGCCACGTGGAGAGTGCGTGGACTGACAGGCGGTCTCCTCCAGCACCAGAGGCTGTTTTCAGATTTGTCCCTGACGCCTGACCAGCGGCTGCTATGCCATTTCATGGCTAATGTTTTAAAAAATCAGTGACCTTTTCAAACTGTCATTAGCAAGGCAGTCTGCGTGCCCCGTGATGCAAGATGAACGAGCAACAGTGCCCGCTCGAGGGGCTCCCATTTCCTGTGAAGAAAGACAAGCAAGCCGACATTTACTGTTCCGTGTGACGAGCACGGGCACCCTGGCAGGCCCAGCTCCCACACACCATAGCCAAAGCCTTGATTGACTGCTCGTTCCCCTGCCCTCGACTCCACAACTTTCCGCCCACGCTCAGTGATTCTGTTTGGCATAACTTCTGTACATTATACGGCAATCTTCCTTCCTCAATGTTTGTCATCTAGTGCCCTTGGCGGCCCTGGGAAGCAAAAGGCGTCCTGACACAAAGTATCACCGAGCCAAGCACTTTAGCTCTGGTCATCACTCACACCTCCCTCCCCACTCAGACCAGCCTCCGGCACACCCCCGGCCTGCACACCCGGCCAAGCGGCCTCCTGACCGCTGGGTGTCAGAAACTCAGCTGCCATCAGTGGGAAGACGCTGGAACGTCTCAAATCAGAAGCAAAGCCGCAGACAAACACGGATGTAGCCGAGTTCGACCACCTACGAAGGGTGAAGGGAGCCCTCGGGAGGGGCCCCGCAGGGCTTTCAGGGAGAAGAACGGCCCCCGTAGGGCTGGGGAAGGTGATGGAGCCTCACAAAGGCTTTTAGTTTTTTTACATTTTATTTTTATTGATTTCAGAGAGGAAGGGGGAGGGAGAAAGATAGAAACATCACTGATGAGAGAGAATCATTGATCAGCTGCCTCCTGCACTCCCCCCACTGGGGATCGAGTCCGCAACCCAGGCATGTGCCCTTGACCAGAATTGAACCCAGGACCCTTCAGTCCACAGGCCAACGCTCTATCCACTGAGCAAACCGGCGAGGGAGCCCTCAAATACTTTTGCAATAAAATCCCTCTTATGATTATGGTACAAAAGTCAAAAGTGAAGGGACAATTCAGACTGTTTCAGACAATTTTGCTGGAAAAGTCTCCCAATTCAATACCAAGAAATAGCACACACCTTCAATTACAGAATCAAGCATTAGCACACAGTCACAATCACTTCAATTTTATATAACATGAGCTTATTTACATGTTCTTGTTTCATTTTTAAGATAAAGTCCCCTTCAAAACTTTCTAAACTTTGGTCCATCTTAAATAGGTTCACTTCCAGTGGACTTTTTCTGGTGCCGATTCTCCTTAGATAAAAAGGACCTATATTATAACAGCAAACCTTTTTTGGCTTTGTTTTAAAAATATAAATACAGTGTAACAAAGCAAATATAAATGTGCTTTTGTAAACTGTGCCCATTCCACCTACCCAACAGCCCCTGCGTGCCCTCCCCTGTGAGAATTACTCATCTCGAGAGGACATCCGTCCGTGTGTAAATGACACAATAAGTCACTGACCCCAGGTGTCTTAGGCAAACCCAGGGAGGCTCCCGGGGAGCACGTGACCAGCAGAGGCCCCTGGCGGGAGGCCAGGCCGCCTACCTGAGCATCTGCTTCTTGTGGTTCTCCACCTCCTGGAGCAGAACTTGCTTGTCCGACTCTTTGTCTTGCTCTTTAGCCAACTGCTCCAGCTCCTTTGGGGGAAAGCAGCTCTGTGTGAAAATCACTGTAAAGCCAATACGAAAACCAGGAAGCACTTCTAGTTCTAGCCAGGCCATAAGCAGCACTGGAAAACCCTCCTAGAGCAGGGCACTGAGGAATGCCCAACATCCTTTTAGATAGAGCCGAGACGGTAAGAAAATAAGGACAGCCCTAGCTGGTTTGACTCAGTGGATAGAGTGTCAGTCTGCAGACTGACGGGTCCCAGGTTCAACTCCAGTCAAGGGCACGTGCCCGGGTTGTGGGCTCCATCCAAGTAGGGGGCGTGCAGGAGGCAGCTGATCAATGATCCTCTCTCATCATTGATGTTTCTCTCTCTCTCCCCCTCTCCCTTACTCTCTGAAATCAATAAAAATATATTTTTTAAAAAAAGAAAGAAAATAAGGACCATCCCAAGACCCCACAACGAGGAGGAGCCCGAGACCAGCGCAGACAGCCGTGAGTGGTGCGGCTGCCGGAGAGGGAGACGTGCGCCTGCCACGCAGCACAAAAACCTGAACAGGAGACGGACCCCACTTAGACATCATGGGGATATCAAAAACCGGATTCTGAAAACTGCCCCGGAAAGTTCCTTTGGAAGACAACACGCAGGGCACAGACATGCTGTTTCTGAGGGTCCAAACAGCCAGTTTCTCCACCAGCTCTGGACTGCCTTCTCGGGTTCAGTTGGTGGCTGGCATCTGGGGCCCTGCAATATGAACAATCTAAGGCTTTACACCCCAGCACCACATGCAGGCAGAGCAGGTGCCCAACACCTTCGGAGAGGCAGGCAGCTCTCTGCCACCCTCACTGAAGGCACAGCGCGGAAACACCTACGTCATCCACACGGGTACTGCTCGCTGTTGTGTTTTGAGATGGCACATATACTGTAGTCACATTCAGGAGCATATATGTGCATATGATGCGACTGGTGATTACAAAACAGGGGAGGAGGCTGGGCAAAGCGACAGCCTCAAAAATTTACCCAGGAGACACTGGTGATGGACTGGGGTCAATGGGTTGGACAGTGGGAGAGAAAAGAAAGTAGTTCAAGTGACCGCAGAGCTTTGACGTTGAAAACTTCCAAGGACAATGGCGTCCCTGCCACCGTCTGTCACGGTTGGCTGTGCGCTGCAGGCCTCAGTTCCTAGCAGTGACCTGGACAGTAGGTTAGTACAGCTCCCTGTCTACAGGTTTAGGAAGAACCCGGACAGCTCTCAGTCCCAGGACCAAGCCCCCTTTCTCGTTCCCCCTTCCTTAGCATCTCAGTTCTGCGCTGCTCACCTGTATTCTGTGCCGCAACTGTTGGAACTTCTCTTTCACTTTAGCGTTCAGTTCAGTAAGTGCACTTAATGGTCCTGAGCAATCTCGAATATCCTAGGAGACAGTGAAGAGATGAGGGGGCCTTTCTCAGGGCAACGAAAGAAAATGACAGCATCAGTACAGGGAGCGCTGGCTTATGCCACAGCTAAGGTTGGCCCCCCGACCGTATTTCAGCCTGGTCTTAGCTGTTTACCTCTGCGACACAAGCAAACACATTATAATTTACACTTTTCTCATCCCTCTCTAAATTGACTGTGAATAGGTAACATAAAAGCATAGAGAGGAACGCAACGCTGTCTTGACTTACCAGTTCCTAAAGTTTAACAAAACGCCACCTGGCAAGTATGAAAGCCTTAAAGTAGCTTGTGTATTCAACTAAAATGCCAATCCAAAGCAGATGCTACTAACTTGAGACCTTTGGAAATCGGGGCGCTGAATTCTGGGCATCAGATGACAAGATTAGCTTCAATCTGATTTTACAAACCACCTATTATAGAGCGCAGTGTTTGTAGACAGACTCAAGGGTAGGTTTAGAATTCGTTTCAGGACAGTCAGAATTAGTGGAGCAGGCCCTAGAGCCAGACTATGCGGATTTCAGATTCTGGCTGTGTATTTATTAGCCGTGCAACCTCGAAAAAAAATCAGTTGAGCTCTGAGCCTCAGTTCTGTCCCTCATCGTATTACCTACTGCATAGACCATGTATGTCCAGAATGCATTTAGCAGAGGAACTGAAGCACAGTACGAATGCAATGAATCTAGCTATAATCGCTCGTTCTCATTAGATTTCAGAACTGTCCCGGCACTTGGTGGTTTACACACGGGAGAAGGGGAGTGTCAATGTTTGCATTAAAACTTCCTCACTTGTTCTCTGGCTTAATCACTAAATCACACTTCCTGGCAACTCATTAGATTTATTTTGCATCTGGTTTCGGGAGTGGTGGTGGTGGTAGTGGTGGTGGTGGTGGGAGGCCCTACTTTCCTTCACTTTTTGTCCCCGCTAGTTGCAAACTCTGAATCTACATCTGATGTTTAGTAACATTTATTGGAAATGGAAACGATTTGCCGAAAACCGAGGTTTAACTCTCGGTTTCCTTCCTGCTAAACGAAAGGAGCTGCGTTTACATTCCTACCCTTGCGTGTGCCACTGGTTCACTGCACTGTTACCTTCTACCCCTCAGCGGCTCAATGAAGCTAACGCACGTCGGTGCCCTGGGCCCCTTCCCGGGGTCCCCGTTTTGCCACCACCCGCCTTCAGCTTCAGGCCTCGCCACTTGACTCGGTTTCCTCATTTCCCAAATCACATCTTCGGCCCGGGGGACGTTCATTTTCCCCCTGTGCCGCCCATGCCAGGTTGGGGGCCACGGGCCAGAGGCCCA